TGTATAATGTACATTGGTGATTATTCTGCTAGTACGAGGAGGGATATCCGGTAGCATACGAGGACGTGTGGATCAGGCTGGTACGTAACTTTCAGGTTGCTGAGCATCTCCCATAGAGTGGTAGAATTGGGTCTGTTCGACTCAGCACCGTTCGACGAACGTATCAGTTGTTGTGTGGTGATGCTTAGACGTGATGTGTTGTGAGGATGATGAAATTATGGTAGCTACAAGAGATTTGTTGTGGTTGTGGGAATTCTTTGATTTATTTTATCCTATGTTGTCTTCTAGGCAACGGAATTGCCGTTTAATTGGTAGCCTCTTTTCTGTGCTGCGAGAGACTTGTTGTTTCGGTGGAGTGATGGGGGAATTTGCTCTGAGGTCATTTTGGGACAAATCGGTTAGTCAGGTTGGCGAATATCGCAACTTGGAGTCAATGATTTGTTCAGGTTGGGCGGGCGGATCTTTATATGGATTTTGTTTGCTGTCCCTGTTCGCTCTTCAGAAATATTTTGGCGGGAAGAGAACATACACGAAATGGTATATTTTACATTATATTGGTAGATAATACTCTAGACTTGTACTCTACTCTATACTCATGGTAGATTATAGGTTATACTTTTCAGAATTGTATTTTAGCTAATATGAATAGTGTTATCTACGGCTGGATAGTAGCACCGATAATTCTGTATTTCGCTGGTCTCCTACCTAGAGTGGCCTTCGCTATGTTGGTTGGATTCATTGGATTCCTGTGGATGTGGTTTATTCCTAAGTAATAGGGTTGATGGAATTTACATCGAGTCGACTTGATTGCTGTGGTGTTCTGATGCGTTATTACCGCATCAGAACACTAACGCAACAATAACGCAGCGTTATTGATTCACTCGGTGTTCGAAGAGGCTTTTCGAGACATAGACTAAAGGACTTGGAGAAAGCTCGTGAGGGCAGGTACAAGATGGAGAAGAACTTAGAACGCGGAGGTGATTGGCGTCCGTCGACCAAGAGGGAAGGGAAGTATGTTGATGTTGATGGCTATAAAACGCATGTACGAGGGATTGAACTCGCGTCGTATTCTCTGACCATTGAATCGCGCTGGGAAGTTGTCTTAGATATTTGCGCTCATCGAGATCTGTATCAGATGCTCATGTGTGAAGGCATTGCTTTTTCGTAGGTCTACGAGATAGAACCGGATCTGGTCGATTGTAAAGGAGCTGTGGTTTTGATTGCTGGTGTTGGAAGTGATGGAACCTTTTTCCCACGAGATGAGATACTCAATCGATTGCAGAATGAAGGATATCAACTACTTCTGATTGACCTATGGGGTCGGGGGTTCTCTGATTGTCCTCAGGGAGGTGAGGCTGGGTCTAATCGAATACCACGCGCGGGAGAATTCATGTCGTTTTAGGGCGTTACGACGCTTCGCGTTTCTCTAAGCAGATTATGGCGGTGGTTGAGAACTTGGTGCCTGCCGATCGTCCCGTGTATCTGCTGGGAATGTCGTTCGGTGGGTGTGTAGTGGTGCATTGCGCAGCTACGAATCCTGACCGGATCAATGGTAAAAACGGATTTTTTTTGTTGGTCTTGAGGAGGTCCTCTGCGTTCAGGTGTGCTCACGATTTGTCCCGCGGGGTGTGGCCTTGGAAAACTACAGGAGTGGTTTATTCCTCTCATAAAACGAGTGAAGTCGCCGTACTGCGACATCCTCGGCACTCTGGCTGAGGTCATCAGTTACGAGTTATTCTTCGACCCTGAGAAGTACCCCAAGATCCATGAGAATACCATGATCGACTGGATGTACAATCCAGCATTCTTCCGAGCCTACACTCGCACTCTTATAGATTTCCCTCTCCGTGACGGACTTGTACGATTTCTCCCGGAAGTAAGTTCGGGAGTCATACATGTTCCACGTTCATTATCATTCGGAGTGATGGGGAGCAGGAACCCATTTAACTTTGAGAGATAACGTCTTCCAGGGTTTGATAACAACGGGGGCAATGTTCCTGATATGATGACATTTATATGGAAAACTGATTGAAGAATGCGTTCCTAGCCATACGTGGAAAATTCAAAACGAACAGTATAAGTTTCTGGCATCTTAGATCGGCGTGATTGGAGATTTTTATGGAATTCTGCTCAGGTGAAATGTCCCGTACGTGTACTGTTGGCGGGTGATGACGGAACTGTGAACACCCCGAAGGTTGCGGAGTTCCTAGACACTCTGACGGGGTCTATGAAGTTGTTGTCTTATAAGATCGTCCCCCACCAGCCACACGATATGGTCCTCGCCGCGCCAAATGAGATGACTGATGAGTTACTTAAGTTGATGGAGGGAAGCACTACTGCGAACAAGAGAGATTGAAGCCAATTGTATTCATATTCTGTTCAGTCGAGTTTCTTCAAATCACTTGTGGTGTTGCTCGACCACCTGGGCACTTGGAATCTTGCTCTCTTGGGTCAACGTAGGTTCGGCACATTTTTGTGCATTTCCTTGGAAGAATTTATTAGGTGTCGAATCTTGATGTGTGTAAGCTGAAT